CCCCAAAACCCCAAAACCCCAAAACCCCAAAACCCCTTTTATCATAGTTAATATTGATTAACTACTTTTTCTTCTTTTTGCCTTTCTTTCCCTTCTTTTTCTTTTTGCCCTTGAGAATTGCTAGCGGATCTGGCACTGCTGCATACCATAATCTTGGATAAGTTGGTTTAACGTCAAGGAATTTATGCTTTGACTTTTTTAAATTATTCTTGGCTCACAAAGTTCTTTCATGATTGCTTCCTAGAATCGTATCTAAGATTACATAAGAAAGCTCGAAGTAAGTATTAGCCTCTTGGTTCCTTTGAAGCAGCATCATGCATCACCCAAGGTTGTTATAGGTTGAAGCTCAATCAACAGTATCTCCTCCCATTCTTTCTTCCCTTATCTCTCTGGCTTTTATGAAGCATCGAGTTGCAGCATCATGTTGATCTAACATTAGCAAGACTCATCCAAGAGAACTGAAGGGTATAGCTTTATCAGGATGATTATAGGTCAACTCAATTGTTTTAGCTTTCATATAATACCTTAAGGCTATTCTCAGATTATTAGTCTCTTCATATACCTGCCCTATGGAAATGTTGAAGTATATCTCAAGTTCTGCTTTTAGATTAGTGGCTTCTTCAATCCTCAGCCATTCTTGTTTGGCTTGCTGTAATGCATCAAGTGCTTTATTTGTACTGTCTTTTAATCATATACAGATTACTTGACTCAAGTAAAGTTCTAACATCTGTAGGGGAATCAGGAATCATTAAAGCTTCTTTTATCAAGCATGGTCTAACCGCTGTATATCATTGGTCTTCAAGTAAGCTCAAATGGATCCCATGACTATAAATCTCATTTTCTTCAGCTTTAATCAATTCTGAAATAGGCTTTGGAGCTGGAAGTGGAACTTCAAAATCTATATTAATACTAGGCTTTGGGATAGCGTCTCCATCTTTTTGCTTATCGCCTCCTTTACCTTTCTTCTTTCCTTTTTTATCTTTCTTGCCTTTCTTGCCTTTCTTACCTTTCTTTGGGCTTTTTGATTTTCCTTTCTTGGCTCCCCCTCCTTTCTTTTTATCCCCACCATCGCTAGCTTTGGGAGCTCGAGACCCAACTGTCTCCCTTGGGTAAAGAAATGGAGGTGGATTTTCTTGCACAACTTGAGGCTTGTCAGGAACAGGAGGAATCTCATGGTCCAATTCAACAATAATATCTTGTAAATTATTAGGATAGATCAGATCCATTTCTTCTTCAGGGAGTTTATCTAACTTCTCTGCGTTCATATCGGAAAGGATTTCATCTAAATGACATTAACTTCTGTTAAATTTTCTGGAAAAAGATGTTTCAAGATGCAATGCTTACTATCATCTTCACTCTCCCCCTCGTCAGAACTAGAGGCATCAAAGATATGATCTGAGTAATCACTAAGGTCATCCATAACTTTAGCTTCTTCACTGACTTCTTGTATCCGTTGCATCAAGTGTAGTTTCTAACTTGGAATAACTATATAATTTAGCTGGAAATAAAATGGGGTTTTGGGGTTTTGGGGTTTTGGGGTTTTGGGGTTTTGGGG